GCTGAGATTGTGAATACAATAATAAATAATAAAAGATTTTCATGCAACAATTAGTAATAAAGAGATGATTATACACAACTACTTATGGTGAGTGAACGTTATTGTACATGTTATTCTATTCTACAATATTCTTCTCATGTAAAATAATATACTATAAATTTTTGTATAACTTAAAGACAGAGTTTAAGTAACATTGCGGGTATTAAAAATAAATATAGAAAAGACATTGCGGGTATTACTTAATGTCGCCAATCAAACGTTACATTTAGTTACATGAAACTATTTTTGTATGACGTTACATTTAGTTACATGGAACTATTTTGACTCCATTACATAAATGGTCACTCAACTATTCCAAATTATCTCCTAAAGTCACTTTACTTTCATTTGTAACAACAAAGTCACTGAACTATGCCTATTGCACTCAGAAGGTCACTCAACTACATTTTTCAAATTTTGCATCGCCAAATACCTATTTTACCCTCTAAATTATAAACATTTATCTTCTTTTTATTTTTTTAAAACTTTTTAATATTATAATTTTTCCTTTTTAATTTATATTATGGACTTACCTATAGAATAATAAATATTATTTATAAATAAAGTATTTAAGCATATATAATGCTGGAATAACAACATAATGAGCATAGTAAAAAAAAAAATTAATTAGAATAATTTGTTAGTAATAATAATTTTAGTATTAACAACAAAAATTCAAAATATATTTACACAATTCAGAATGAAAGAAAATAAATATTGTAAAATATATATTCAAAGCACCTAATATAAAATAATTATTTAAATAAAGGTATTTTTATAATATACTATATTCTTGAAAATTATGCTCAATTATATTGTTATGTTTCTACCAACTTTCCGACGACACAAAGGTATATTACCGGAAAGCAGGGAGACTATCTGTATAGGGTAAAATATGTTATGTTAAGTCGTGCATGGAATATATATAATATAATTGAGCATAATTTTCAAGAATATATAATGTATATTATAAAACTACTTTTATTTAAATAATTATTTTTATATTACGTGCATGCAATATATATTTAACAACCTTTATTTTCTTTCATCTGAATCGTGTAAATAAATTTTTGAATTTTTGTTCTTTATAATATTATTATTAGAAATAAATTATTCTAATGAATTCTTTCAATATGCTCATTATTTTGTTATTCCAGCATTATAGATGCTTAAATACTTTTAATTTTTTAATTTATAAATAATATTTATTTATTCTATAGGTAAGTCCATAATATAAATCAAAAAAAGAAAAATTATAATATTAAAAAGTTTTTAAAAAAATAAAAGAAGATAAATATTTATAATTTAGAGAGTAAAATAGGTATTTGGTAATCTAAAATTTGGAAAATTTAGTTGAGTGGCTTTCTGAGTGCAATAAGCATAGTTCAGTGACTTTTTTGTTACAAACGAAAAAAAAGTGACTTTAGGAGATATTTTGAGATAGTTCAGTGACAATTTGAGTGATTGACTCGAACTATTTTGTATGCGATCAGCCAAACTATTTTGTATGCGATTTTTTTTTTAATTAAAATTAATTATTTCAATACCAACAACCAGACGACCCTAATGTTAATATCCCTGATCTTGGGTTGAATCCTTTTATGTTATTTTATTGTACACACTTAACGAAAACAATCGTGATCTGATTAATTGAGAATATATTTGAAAATTTATGGTGAAAATCTTGCGTAACTTGAGAACACCCAAATTTGTCGATTGGATAATACTAGTCTAGTGAGGAGAAAAAAGAAGTAAAAAATAATACTAGTCTAATTAGCCGGAAAATGCCTTATGAAAAAATCATTCAATGTCAAAACACAAAGTCAAACTATGTTTATACACTAAAAGAAATTGGAAAACATAATAGTATAAGTTTCTATATTGAACATGTCACAAATCTAAAGAAGTATTTCTTATTTAGATCAGGAAACAATCATGTCTGTTATTTCATGGGCAAAAGTTAGAGAAGCACATGATAAACTATGAGACTACCATGCAGAGACAACGCATCATATATTTTTATAAAGTTAACGATTGGCGTATGGTGTGTTTCTGTGATGCTAGCTTTCTTTAGTTATCAACCTCGACGGATTCCGGATTTAAAATTTATGAGTCCTAACAGCAATTTCAAATTAAAATATAATATGATAATCAAACCAACAAATTGAGTTCCAAAATAAATATTCTTATATGTTTAATAAATTTCATAATGCAAATATAGAGTTTGGACAAAAATTACTAAATTCACGTGAACTCATATTGAATACTATAAATTTGCATCCTAGCTCCAAACTTTCGTCCTTTTTCCAACTTCTTTTACTCTGAACAGATATATTGTATTCTTTTTGCCTATAATTGATCAATATCAATTAATGAATTAATTGAGGCTTGGTATATGATCAACCAATGTATCCATTTCGCTTCATTCACATGCATTTTAGTCGTACGACAAAGTAAATTTGACTTAATAGACAAATTAAGAGAACAACTAGAATAGTCTCTATTCAAATTTTAAAAACTTTTGATACACGCGGACTCATGTAAGTGTGACTTTAACAATTAAACTTTAATTTAACTAATTGATATTACTTATATGGTCCTTTACAACTATTATGTACTATTTTTAATTAAATTTTCATTAATTTTGAGAAATTACAAGTTTTTTAGACGACTTTCATAATTGATTTAAGAAGAGGGGACTCCGTTCTATTTCTTTTCCTTAGGGCTTAGAACGTCATGTTAAAATAAGGGTATGATCAAATTAAATAATCATACGACTTCAAACCTTAATTTGATAGGAGAATGAGTCTGTTAAAGATACCTAATGTACAGAAATAGAAAAAAGGTAGAACCCTTCCATCAAATAGTAAATTTACTGAGAACTTTATTCATTTTTTTTCCTAAACTCTTTATTTAATAAGAATGGCAGATTTCAGAGTATAAGATTTAACATCTATATTTTTAATGCAAATTCAAACATGAATTTTTAATTCCTTTTTTAAATAAGTTTATAAATTACATAAAATGTGTTAATTACTTTTGTAGTAAAAGACTGAAAATAATAATTGAAGAAAAAAATTGTTTCACTCTTTACATAATAACAACGCCACTTTCATTGGGATAAATCATAAAAGCAGTACCAGGGAACAAATTTATCTAAACCCCTTACATGCACTAATTTATATGTAAAGAAGGAAAAACCAAAAGGGGTAGAATTCTTTTTTTTTTTTTTCGAATTTTGTTCACATCTTAGACCTATAAATTGACTCAACTCCATATAACTTGTATTTTTAGAACATCTGGCGTGCCATAGATAATGAATAAACATGAGTTAATATATCATTCCAATTGCCATTACAAAAGTAATTAGTATTTTTGGAATTAAAACATATTTTTGGCCGGTAATTATTCCAAAAAATAGTATCAATTCAGTATGATCGTCTTGTTCTAGCCGATCTTAGTATTGGTGTTTTTTTTTTCAGGATTTCCCTTTGAAGTATTGCTCCCCTTGGACTTCTTATGTCGGAATATGGACCAAATAATAAATATTTATTTTTAGGTGGTCTACGGGCAACTGCTCAATCAATTAGTTATGAAATGCTATTAGCTCTATGTGTGTTATCAATATCTCTTGAATATTGAAAAAAGAAAAAGAAAAAGAAATTTCAATTGACAACAATAAAAAATATTTAAAAAAAGGACTTGTGTTGGATTGGCATTACAAGTCTAATCCAAATAAAATATATACAAAAAAAATATAGATGGGAGAATAAATTATTATCCATGGGCAATGAGTTTCGAGTATTGGGTGTATCTGTATTTTATAGAAGCTTTTATTTTCGTGCTTGTCTTAATTATTGGTTTAGTTTATGCATGGCGAAAGGAGGCATTGGAATGGTCGAATTTTTTTAGTGAACGTGTCACAAGCTTACTCCTATTACTTTTTTTTTTCTGTAAAGTTATTGTAAAAAAGAAAAAATTTGATTTTCTCTCCTATATACTATGACGACGAAGAATCAAATTATCACTATAGTTATTCCTTGTCAGAAGGAATAATCTAATGGAGTTCATGGTTTTACCTAGGTCAATTATGGGCTAATCAATAAAGGACTTTTATCTTCGAAACCCATTGGAAAGGACAGTGTAAGAGAAATCATACAAAAATGATCGAATCTTCGGACGTCCCGAAAAAGCTATGAGGTGCTCGAAAATACTGAATACTTTTGGTATGGTATATGAATTTATATGTTAAATTTATTAAAATTACAATAAATAAGGAGTAATATATATAAATCCATAAAATTTAAAATACAATGGATCCAATATTAAGAACCTTAGATGTTGAGCCCTAGGGATTGTTTGGTTCGCAGGATAAGGTGTGGATTAAATTTATACTTTGTTTAATTGTGGTATAAATTTATCCCAGGACAAATTTATATAATACACCAAACATAGTATAAAATTAATTTCAGACTGAATCCTGGATATCCATACTATTTCGTTAAATTTGAAATTATTTTATCGTACCTCTCAAGTAAGATAAATTAATTCAGAGATTACGAGATAATTTACTCCGCGTACCAAACTATCCCAAAGAACTTAAATCATCGATAGACTCGGGTGAAAAGTTAACTAGTAATAAAAATTTACATAATAAATACGTACATATTAGGCAGTTACTACTGTTTTAATGCATCCACATATATGAGTAAGTATTTTTTGAAATGATCTATTTTAATGTTCGATAATATTTTTGTCTTAAATAGTGTTGATTGTCACAAGAGGAGTCCTTTCAAGTTTCTAAAATTAAATGGGTAGACACAATATTAATTATCACATGAACCTTTGATCCCACCTCCATATTATAGCCAACTATAATTATCACATGAACCTTTGATCCCACCTCCATATTATAGCCAACTATATATATCTGTCCTCTTTCCCCCCTGACCTCACTCAAAATTAAAACACCTTTGCACCCACCTCATCCTCATGCAATCTCTGATTAATTCTACTTTTTTATATTTCTTTTACTTTTATGTGTCTGATAATTTAATTGAATAGTATTAAATTGTTACAGACCAAGAAAATCCCTCCCTTTTTATTTCTAAATCTTGACCCATTTGTACATCAACTTGTACCTCTTCGTATCTTCACGTCCTTTCTTCTTCCTCTCTCTCTCTCTCTCTCTCTCTCTCTCTCTCTCTCTCTCTCTCTCTCTTTCCTGCGCAGAAATAAAAAATTTCAATTTTTACTTCACCCCATTAATTGTTAATGCAAGTATTATACTTGAGCTATTCCGAAGTTTCCAAGTTTTACTTGTTAAGCCAGGTTTAATACTTTAATTATTGTTCAGTGTTTCATGTCTTAATTGCTGTTAATTTAATGCACTGTTAACTTATTTTTTCTACTTGTTTGCATTATACTCCATTCCTACTCTGTGCATTGAATAAAGTCTAGATCTTTATGTTTTTTCTTTATTTTATTCATATTTTCTTGCTTCCTTGAACTGGGGTTATCTTTCTTTGTAAGTTTAATGCTTCCTTTGTACATTTCTGGAAATATTAGGTACATATTCACTACCTTTTATTCAGTTTTTCCAAATGGGTTGTTAGAGATTTTAGGTTTTTTTATTTTACTGAAACTGTTAGTTGAAAATTTTGAAACTTGAGATTTGAATGGGGACTGGGGATTTTATCTTGTTTTAAGAATTTTGTGGTATATTTTATTGAAGTTCATAGCAAAACTGAATTTTCCTTTTATTTGTATGTTTGTTAGTCCATTTTAACTTACAAAAGTTTACTTGTCTTTTTGCTTAGGTAAATATCACATGCCTCACCGTGAATTTAGCTAGGATTTGAGTGCTTCTATGCAGTTGCCAAATGCCAAATTTTGTTGGTTTCTTGAGGTAGCTTAAGAAGCTGATGTTGCTTTTTGTTGTTGCAAAGTAGAAGTCAGATTTGAGTAAATGTACATTGAATGTGAGAGGTTGTGACAAGGTTCGGAGTAAGAAAGGCAGATTACGGTTGAGACCTTTTATATTTTTGGGATCACTAGATTACAAGCTTCCAGGAAGGATTGTGTCTAAGATAGTCTGATATAAATCCAATATACTGGAGGAATTTGTCGATACATTGCTAGTAGAAAACAAGGGTTTCAAGTCTTCTTTTTAGAGATATTGTGAACCAAGGAACAAAGTGCAATTTGAAAATGGGGCAGTATGCACCAGTCTGGGATCATACAGCAGCAATTGAAGTAACAAAAGATTGGAATGGGATTGATCAGGTTTTGCTTCGTAACCCTCAGGGTGCCTCTTTACGGGTTAGATTCTGTAAACTCTCTCTTACATTAATTAGATCTAATGAATTTATGATTCTGATATCATCTGTTAGATCACTTACGAAAGAAATCATCTTTAAAATCCCCCGTCAATTACATACCCGTTTACGTTTTTATAAACTGCTGTAGGTTGGATTGGAATGGGACCTTTACCTCCCCCGCCAACACACACACTCACATGGTTATTGACAATTTCCTCTGATTCAGGTGAGCTTGCAAGGAGGACAAGTTACTTCTTGGCGGAATGACAGAGGGGAAGAGCTCCTATTCAACAGCAGTAAGGTGGGGTTTTCCATTTTACTAGCCGTTAATTCTTATGATTAAACGGATTGTCTAGCGCCGGAGATTCGAAAGCTTCTAGGATTGGAGCTTTCTTTGAATTCTAACTTTTTATTATTTTAAAAAGTTTCTTTAAGTTATCACTTGTTTTACGGTGTAAAGATTGGAACTAGTAGTTTTTCCAGTGTTGTAATCTACTTGTAGACAAGACTTGGCAGAATTGTACAAAGTTGACTCGTTGAGGGTGTGCTTTGTCCTACAATTTTAGTTTGATGTTTGATGTAGGCAGGATATTATGAGTTGCATCATCTATTGCTTACTTGTAATGCGATGTGCTTTGCGAAAACCAGTATTTGTAATTGAATAAGTGTGAGGGCTGATTCTGTTTCTACGTTTGCCCTTATGTCTAGAGCATCTTCAAGTCTCCGAAAGCTACACGAGGAGGAATCTCTGTTTGCTTTCCACAGGTACCTCTGAATGTGTAATTCTGCCTATCTTCTTGAATTTCTTTAAATGAGTACTATTTTACAACAATTTGTTTGATTATCTCAAATATGCTGCAGTATGGAAATGGTGGTTCACTTGAGCAACTTGGATTTGCAAGAAACAAAATCTGGACCATTGAGGATGACCCTCCATCTCTATACTCATATGACCCACAAGGAAAATCTTTCATTGACTTACTGCTGAAACCTTCAGAAGATGATCTGAAGTTCTGGCCTCACGGGTATGATCTGAAACTCTAGTTGGTTTCAGTATGGAGCTTCGGATATTGAATCAAAAGCTATTCATTGCCTATCAAAATTTGCTATTGTTTTAAAATGGATCTAGACTTTATATCTCAGAATCCTCTTTGGATTTGAAAATGATTTCATGAGAATCTGATCATGAATACAACAGCTATATAAATAACTATGATTAAATTAAGCTAATTTGGATGCTTTCAGTTTCACGAAACTGGAAGCTCTCATGATTATTTTCTGCTGAGTCACAGTATTTAGGTTATTGTGAGTTGTGACCATGATGTCAAAAAAAAAAAATTCAGAGATAGGTATGAAAGCGAAGTACTTTCATGCGAGAAATGAATCTCACCTTCTGACTTTATTTCATGTCTAAAGTCAGTTCTTTGCGTACTTGGTTTCTGACAGTTATAGCTTTCGAAGTTGCTGATGAGTCTCTTCATTATTAATTTCTAGTTTTGAGTTTCGCCTTCGGGTTTCGCTGGCATCAGACGGAAGCTTATCCTTGATATCTCGTGTTAGAAACATCAATGGCAAACAATTCAGCTTCTCATTTGCTTATCATACATACTTCTCTGTTTCAGACATAAGGTGTGTTGTTACCTCTCTGCTCTTTGTAACATATTCATGAATTTAATTACGTCCTGTTTTTCAACATTTTATCACTTCCCCAACATCTTGTACTTTTTTCTGTAAAAATATTGTAGCCGTTCAAATTTCAGAGAGGCATTTTGTTTTATGTCGTCATTATATTTTTTGTGTATAATGTTAAATGAATCTTGTTCACAGTGAAATAAGGATTGAAGGTTTAGAAACACTGGACTATCTAGACAATCTGTGCCAGAAAGAACGCTTTACAGAACAAGGAGATGCTATAACTTTTGAATCTGAGGTATATTTTTCAATGCAACCTACATCATCTCAAAACTTTGTGGTTATAGTCTTATAGATGAGAGATGAAATGTCATCAATCGTGGTTGCATTTGTAAGATAGCTTCAAGAGTGACTCAATAAAAGACCTTTTCCTGGGTATTTAACAATCTTGGACCCTTACAACGCGCCCTAAGACAGATAAGAGGTGATTCTTTTGGTCATCAAAAAAATAAGAGGTCATTCATTTGTGCTTTTGCATTACCAAAGATTAGTAGATTAATTCTAAATTGAACAAAGAAGCATTGATTCTGGAATATTGCTCTAAAGCTAATTATCTAGGCATTTACTTTGCAGTCTCTCCTCAACCTACTCGGAGCAACGATGCTTTACATCTTATGATTTTTTTCTGAATTTATTAGGAAGAAGTTGAAATACTCGGTGTTCACCTTATCTTTCAGAATTGAAGGCATTAATTCTACCTTTATAAATGAGATAAATCAATCCGTTCGTTCAACTGTAAGGTGTTCCTTTTCTTTTGGCTTGTGAGATTAAGAAGTATTCATGTTTCTTGCAGATCGACAGAGTCTATGTTAGTTCTCCAAATCGTATTGCTGTTCTTGATCATGAAAGGAAACGAACATATCTGATAAGGAAGGAAGGATTGCCAGATACTGGTAAGTATCTCAATTTAACATGGAGAAAGAAAATGTCCTCAAATGGAAGTATCCATTAACATGTGCTGCACCCTTAAGGCGATATTTTTACCTTGATTCTACTTTAGTATCTTCGAGTCATTTATTCTTCTCTTAACAAACCTGCTCATTTCTGTAATCCCGAGAGAGAGGTACTTCTCTGTTGGCAACAATTATGCAAGGCATGTAGCATCAATACAAGGATTTAAGACATCACAAGTTAATTTGTAGTATTCTAGAAACGTTTTGTGCATTATAGCGTGATAGTAGAAGTTGCCAAAGAAGCATGAAAGATTTTACCAACTCTAATTTGCATAGCTAAAACCTTTTGGTATCTGTTGCTCTGTCTTTTCACAGTGGTGTGGAATCCATGGGATAAGAAATCCAAAGCAATGGCGGATTTTGGTGACGATGAGTACAAGCAGATGCTTTGTGTTGATGGGGCAGCGATAGAGAAACCCATCACATTGAAGCCAGGAGAGGAATGGACTGGTCGTGTAGAGCTTGTGGTCGTGCCATCGAGTTTTTGTGATCTTTAATCCTTCAAAGTCTGGGCAAAAGCATTTTAGTAAAAGGCTCAGCAGCTTACGGAGGGACTGCAAACTCTATACTAGGTTTATTTACTTGTTAATGATGATGTGTGATACATTTAGAGTCATTAAACCGCTGTTATGAACCGCCAAAGCCTATTGTTTTTTGGAATGGCTGTTTGGTGTTTTATCTTTTGAAAGAGAGGTTTTCGCAGATTAAAGTTTGCATTGGCATTAGTAATTTCAGGTTTGCGCAAATGATACTGTCTTCGTGACTTAATATCGTTTTGGACTTTTTGGTGTTTTTTGAGTATAAATAGCATAGCTTCCCCCGTGATTGCCACTGTATCCTTGTTTGAATGTTGCGATTAATACACAAAAGAAAAGTTATTTAGCCTTATCTATTAGTCTACTGGCGTTGATCATGAAAGTGAACGGTTATTGATCCATCAAATGCTTAATTCTGACCAATGTGATTCTCCCATGGTCTACCATACCAAAAGCTTCTTCGATACAGTTCCACCAAATTAACTTAACCGCACATCATAATACAACCACACTAGAAAAGAATTAAAAACACTAGGGAAGATCATCTCTCCACAGGCTCTCGCAGATTTGTACGGTTAACTTTTTGATCCACCATTGTTTAGAGAGATTCAACCAGGATCCCATTTTGTCTTTTGGCATTTATAGCAAACTGGAAACAATAAGAATAAACTGGGGGTCAAAGAATCTGCATAGATTAGTGCCTCCTGCTTTACAACAATTAAATCGGAAAAGCCACACCTAAGGCTTTGTATCACACAGAGAAGGAACAAGAATTATATTATGTATAAAAATTGCACTTGCTTAGTTTGGCTTAAATTATTGTAGCCCGAGCGGCTGCCTGTTTTCATATACTTTATTTCCACTTAAATGCAACTCCAGAAACGCAAGCAGAAAAAATTTTGAGACGCCATTTTGCTATGTCAAACCTGAAGATTACAAGTTTATGCTAGAAGATTACAAAACATGATGACCTATCGTTTTTCTATGAAAAAAGATTTTGCTACATATTATCTTTCTCCATTGGACTAATTAAATGACTTGTTAGTCTAGCCCTGTATTTTGTACTCATTGCAATATTTATTATTTCTCAGAAGTATAGTATAAGGTTTTCCTCGCCGATCTTCAATTATTTGTAACAAATACATTCGTTTCTCATGGTGCTTGACTGAACCTAATTCCAATTCTAAAAGCCGCTCTTAGCCTCCCGAACCACAACCTCAACCCCCACCACCAACACCCACCTCAGCCCCACCCCCGGGAAAAAGAGAGAAGGAAGAGATGGAACGTGTCTTTTCCTCCTAATGCTTCACGAGTGACATGAAAGAAACAGGCAATAGAGTTCTCACAAATTTTCTTTGCTTCTCATTTTCCTCGAGGAAAGCATTAGCAATCTTCACCAGAATGTTCGTCAGCATTATAATTAGGAAGATTAACATCTTACCAAAAACTCAATAAAAGCTCCTCGAACTATTAAAAACTATAAACCTCGGCGAATCTCCAACTTCTTGGTGTTTTCCAATAATATCTGAAAAAAGAGCAATAAGAGATGCTGATGTAGAAGCTTTTATCGGAACAATTATATGAAGCCAGGAAGAACGCAATGAGTTATCAGTCTTACTTCCCGGATATAGCTTTCCACTGCTTTGCAGCCTTCAACTGCTAATTGCATGACAGTTTCAAATGTATCTATTGGTAGTTTAGCATCCATCTGCACCAAGAAGGTTATTCATTGATTCGCCAGGAGAAAAAGAATGTACTTTGGATACCTTATTTCAATCGTTACTGCCAATAAGGAGTTAACAAACCTGCAGAAGGGTCACTTTGTCCAACTTAGGTAAAATTCCTATGGTGACATCAGGGCCTCCAGCACTGTCTTCCAAGTAGTTTAGATCTGTTTAACAAGTAATCTCAACTAGATCATTCACATATCAATACTGGAAAAGACTGAAAATCAGTTAGAAATAAAGAACCGGAAAATCAACTAAAAATTACAAAATTAATTTACCAAGAAGAGGCGTGCTGTTCAGGTATCCAGCACTGCACGATGTGACAAGATCACGCATGGGAATCCCAGCATCAGCTAGAGCCAGCGTGGCAGCATTTATGCATGCTGATCTTGTACCTAAATAATGCACTAAACTTAGTTGGACTACACTTCTAGAGGGCAAACAAAATAGACGAACTGCATTATATGGGCTGCACGTGGCACGAGACAACTAAATACCTATTCTGATTGATTCTGGACGAAAACAATATGTCACTGAAATGTAATTTAACATCAACCCTCTAAAGTGTTCTGCTTACCTCCATCTGCTTGGAGAACTTGGACAAAAATGTCTATCTGAAAAGCAAAATATCAAGAAATTGTAAATGGAGGTCAGCCTCCATTACTTATTCAAGTTAATGATGTTAAGAGGACTCGAACCTGAGAGCGAGGCATTAAGTGTGTCAATATGCAAGCTTCCATTGTCTGGCGAATAACAAGAGATATCTCTGTGGATCTCCTACAAATGGAAAACAAAGCTATCATCAAACTGACATCATATAACCATAAGTCACACAGATCGAATAAACTCTGCTTCTTAGTTAATTGTGGGTAATCATAGATAATAAGCTAAGACTTCACGTAATATAATTCTTAGATACTATTTACATTGTCTGTGTAAAATTTGTTTTTTTGCTGCCTTTTGCAGTCTTATGATAAAGGGTTATTCTTGGGCACTATAAGTATTCCTAGAACTTTGCTTCTTTTTCTACTATGACGACAGTTACTATCCTAGTATCCTAGCAACACCTTTCATCGCTGGACCAGTGCCTGAACAGTCCGAAAGTCTTCCATTTGGTTATAGTATAATTCTTCTTATCCATCCAATAACCATTAATATTCTATCATGCCCTCCATCTTTTGTACTTCAGTCCAAAGCCGGGATAACTGTTCTTCTGCCACCAGTTTTATACGATATTGTCCATTAAATTTACAAGCATGCATCAAATTTTTTTCTATAATGGAACTGACAGCAGAGCAGATGATATCATCGTATGGATGAAAACACACAAAAAGCAGAAGGAAGGACTTATAACATAACATAGAATCACCTGTCACCCTTATTTTTTCTTCGGCGATCACCAGTGCTGAAATTAGCCATGCTATATTCGCATCGTACCTAAAAGAGAGCCAATGAAAAGATCATATCATCTCACTTTTTAAGGTGATACATCTTACACTCTAATAATTCATCATGAAAGGTAATTTACCAGCGCCTGGTCATTGATCTGTTGGCTCCTGTTCTGGACCTGAATAATGAAACTAACATTAGAGTCAATTGAATGAACCTTTTAGGCTTTTACAGAGCAAAACTAAGATCATCATTGTCATCATTGATCACAGTGGTTGTGATTAGATATTTTCGTAGATGTGCATATACACCAGCATATGGATATCTATCCAGTTTGCATCTCAATATGATGCTTTTTTTGACTTTTAAACAATATAAAACATCGATTGTACATTCTTCCTCCGTTTCCTTTGGGGATGTTTATTGCGACGGAGCAGACTTTTGGTGGGGGTAATGCTTCTCTGCTCCAAAACCATCCTACCCTAGCCATTTTCATGCCTATCAATGAAGAACCGTTTAACCAGGTTTCTTAGTAAAATTACTGCAAAGACTAAGCTACTGAACAGTCCATGACATTATCCACACAAAAGAATTATCTATTCCTCTCTTCCGCCACCCCACATTTGAAAAGTCAGCAGAACAACCCATCAAATATTTCTTGTTTTACCAAGCCACATTCCCTCCACCGTGTAAGACAATGTCATACAAACTGCTATTTTACATGATCGACTTCCCTCCTTTATTTTTCAGTTCAAAGGCCATAACCATTACTTCTCCTTGACAATAAAGCAAACAAACAAGAAACAACAATTTTAGTTGTTTCACAATCCAAATAAGGGTAGAATCGGCAGGTTAAGTGTGACGTGAACTTTACCTCCCTAGGACCATAAACTGCAGCAATGACTTTGGTATTACCCATTTCAAAAGAAGCAGAACTGCAAATAATCGGATTAAACAAATTCAGTTTCAAATAAAAAAAGACGCAGCATCAAAAGAGGATCCAAAATGTTCAGAAAAAACCTACACATGTTTGCACCAAACACCGGATAGAACTTCATTTAAAATACACATGTCATGCATCTAATGTTTTGGTACAAACACCGAATAAATTACTCACGGTTTATTGTATATATAAACTTCTCAAAGTCTTTTTTCTTTGTTTCTTATTTGAATATGTATACATGGTTCAAGAGAAAAACAGTGGTTATATTTAACCTATAAACATTAATGGTGGTAGAAAGAAGTGTTGTGGTTACCCATCAGCTCTTGAGACAACCCCTATTTCAGCACGAATTTGTCTCATCTGAAAGTAAAATTGCCACATAGTGGTACATAACGAGTCAAATCAAAAACACAATGAAAGTTAAAATAAAAAGAACGGAAATTATGTGAGTGAATAGAGGTGTAAGTGTAATGAGAGAAACCTCCATGGGACGGCGACCATCTAAGCGAAGACCTTCCGGATTAACGTACTCCATCTTTGAATACCACCACCGTCCTCACTTGCAGAGCGGCCGGAGAAAGAAAGGTGGAAGTAGTAGGAGTGTGCGAAAGTCCTGAGGTTTTAGATGTTAATCAGGGTTTTGTGCTTTGGGGTTTTTTTTTCGTTGGGTTTGGGGTTGTTGGGGGGGGGGGGGGGGGGGATCGTGTGGTTTATGGTTCAAGGGAAAAAGGATTTACATGAGAAAATGAAGAATAAATAAAAGAAACTAAGAAAAAGGGGAAATATGATTTAAGACTATGATGACTTCATTAATCGCCAATCAAATATATAAAATATGTATATTTTTCAGTTACTATTTTAGGAGATAGTTATACTATGTAAAAATCTTTTTATTTGTGAGCGCTTGTGGGGGAGGGGAGGCTCTACATTCTTTCTTGTTTTAACTTTCTTATTAACAGTAAAATATTTTTGCTTAGATGCATATGTGACCGTACGTAAGATTAGGAACGAAAATATACGAGGTGGGGGGCAAGGTAGGTGTGGTTTTCGTGGTGGACAAAATGTGAAAAGTAAAGCTGATATGATTCGGGCAAGCAGGGCCAGCTCAACCTCAAGGGAAACTAAAGCCTTGGCTTTAGGCCCTAAAAATATAGGACCTCAAATGTTATTCATATTGCATATATAATAAGTATATTTTTAATAATTACTCCTACGACTCTTTACAATGGTAAGTAAATCTTCGGAGCAACCCTTTTCTATGTCAATAATTATTATGGCATAATTCCAAACATTATGCTATTTTTTCGGCAAATTAGTTGAATTATAACAAATGAATGTTATGCACTTAAATGACTTCCTCCTTCATTTCTTATTCTCTTCGAATTGGATTAATTTTTACTTTACACTGGCATATGTACATACCTCGAGCTAATTAGCTCCATATTGATTTTTGGTGTTATTTTGTAACAAAAGTGCTACAAAAAAAACTATACAATTATGTTACAACCCAAATTTCACATGTCGTGATGGCGTCTATCATAATTAGGGGTGTACATTCGAATCGGTTTATCGATAAATTGAATCAATTATTTGTTATCGGTTTATCGATTTATCGATTTCGATTTCAGTTTCAAAATTTTCCTTATCGAGTTATCGATTTCGATTTCGATTTCGATTTTGTCCTCTTCGGTTATCGGTTTATCGATAAACCGATAAGATATACTAAAAAGATAATTTTTTTTTACCCTTATTCTATAATACCCTTTCTTTTACCCTAAGTCCCTAACCCTATTATTTCCTCTACCACATTTAAGGAATGATCATATTTAAAGCTCAAGGGAATGAAGTTCAAATTAATGGAGAACAAAATTAGCCGTGATGATGTATTTTGTTTCGTTTTTTTTTTTAATACCGTTGGAGTGTTGGTGGCATACATTTGATCCCTTACTTTAGTTTCGTTGCATGTGCTTGTTGACACAATTTTTATGTTATAAACGGTGTTCGTCTTATTTTAGCTTCTTTTTGTCCATATTAGTTAGGCGTGTTTAAAGCGATATACTTTCCGTGGAATCCCACAAATTTTCTTATTGGTGTAATCGATAACTGAATCGATAAGCCCCAAAAATCGATAAATCGAAATCGAAAAAATCAAAACCTTATTGAAACGATAACGATAAGCATATGTACAAATCGATAATCGATAAATAATTATCGATAAGGGTCAAAATTGAATCGATAAATCGAATGCACACCCCCAATCACAATACTAGGCAAGCTGACAATCACAATAAACCACGCATGTTTAGAATTTAAAACCATATCAGGATAAGTTTAAAAGTAAGGTCCTATAAACACCGATACGCAAATAGTGTGATTCGATACAACTTCCCCAAAAAATCTGGGTGTCACTAAGTACATGAGCATCTATACCAAAACATGGTCTCACTGCTGAAACACTGTCTAGGAAGGTAGGTGTATATATATATATATATATATAACTGAAAGATAAAGGAGGAAAGTCAAGGTCTACGGACGCCAAGCAGCTACCTCGATAGTCTCCGAATTGATCTAGATCCAACACAAGCAACCCCGTGTCTAGAAGTACCTAGATCTACATATGAAGTGCAGAGTGTAGTATGAGTACAACTAACTCAATAAGTATCATAAGTAAACACGACAAGGTAAAAAAAGCATAAATTATTAATGATACTAGCTGCCACATGTGCAGTTTCATCTTTTAAACTAGCACCAAAACAATATCATGGCATGTAGAGGAAGGAAACAATTAGATCAGACAGATGATCAAAGAAATGCAAATTCCACACACGGCGCGGACAATTCACGTGCTGCATGGACAACTCACGTGCCAACAATAAAATTTGCACGGACAACTCATGTGTGACACGGACAACTCACATGTGACACGAACAACTCACATGTCAATATATTTCAATATATGGGTCCGCACGGATAACTCACAGGCCAATAATATCAATAGATGGTTCCGCACAGACAACTCACATGATGCACGGACAACTGACGTGCCAATAATATCAATAGATGGATTCGCACGGACAACTCACGTGCCAATAATATAATCCGTCCGGCATAGCCACAGGCCTCCAGTCCAAACATATCATACAGGAGCAATTAAGCAAGTATACATGTATGTGATAAATGAAATAAGTTTCTCATGCTCATGGACCGGTACAAATTACATGCTAAAGTGTAGGCCTTTGCAAAGTGTGCCATCGTAGCTCAAATTGGCAATTTCATCACTGAAAAGCATTTATTAAGTTTGTTCAACTATTTAAACCTCTATGTAGCCTCAGCATGGCTCAAATAGATCACATAAACTGTTATAACACGAAATATATCATAGCTTTTAAGCTTAACAACCAATTCGAGGCTTATAATAGCCCGAACACAATCCGAACATGAATATATGAATCCCGGTGCCCACACATGGGTACATTCCCACGCATGTGTGTACACAATAACACGTAGCTATCAAAATAATTCAGGCAACTAGTGCCTGAACCGAGTTTAAATAAGATACTTACCTCCAGCAATCAAATCACTCTGCTAGTAACCCCTTCCCACGCGTATCGCCCTCCGGAAGGCTCGAATAGTCAAAATAACGTAGTAGTATCAACAAAAGCTATAGAATTAATTCCATATGAAACTGTTAAGTTCTTAATCAATGCCAAAAGTCAACTCAAAGTCAACCCCGGGGCCCACGTCTCGAAAATCACAAAAGTTACGAAATTCGAACCCCCGTTTAACGGAGAGTCCAACCATACCAAAATTACTAAATTTCGATCTCAACTTGGCTCTTGTCACGACCCAAACCGATGGGCTGCGGGGCACCCGGTACGTTACTCAACCGAGTACCAACGTAACATATCTTTCGTATCATTCTATCATAGGTAAATGAACCGGAGTAAAGCATGAGGGGATACAAACTTATACGTATGACATACTGGCCTATAAGACCAAAAAGATCACTCGTACACTGAACATAGTCCGACAAGGCCATACAATCTTTCGCGTACTCGACATATGTCTACAAGCCTCTAAGAGTACATAAATGTCATAAAGGTCGTGACAGGGCCCCGCCATACTAATCAATATACGTCCTATTCATACTGACCAAATAAGTAACTCCGGAGCAAATGGAGCGCACCAACACCTTCCACTGAGCTGATAGCCTACTTTGAGGACTCTCAACCTGTCTATCGGGACTTGCGGGCATGAAACGCAGCGTCCCCATGCAAAAGTGACGTTAGCACAAATAATGTACCGAGTATGTAAGGAATGAATATCAGTAAATAATAGACATAAGAGAAACATGGAGTAAAAGACTCAACATGTAAGTTTGAATAACTCTGTGAATTATTAATATTTATAATGCCATGCATATGCGTATAAATGTCATGTCATGCATAGGTATATGTGTTCATAACATCATCAAGCCTCTGAGGGCATCCCATCATATCATCTTGGCCACTGTGGGCAAAATCATCAACGTCTACCAGCTGATCAGGTGGTAGTGCGCATATAACACCGTAACCTTTTTCCATATCCCATGCACATATAATATACATATATACGCGTATATAACGCCATCTGGTCATGGGTCAATGTAAATGAATGCAGTACATGAGAAGTACGTCAATAAAATTTCTCGGAATGTCATAACACCATTGTGGGATCAGGTTGCACGCCGCAACGAAAATTGATTGAAATAATAATTGGTTATGACAGCCGAGTTGGCTCGATTGCTAAAATGACTAATCTGTTTAATTTGTATTCATGTTTTCCTATTATTATTATTATTATTATTATTATTATTATTATTATTATTATTATTATTATTATTATTATTATTAAGGTAAGTGACCTGCCTTAGCATCGTCACTACTTCGTCGAGGTTAGGCTCGACACTTACTGGGTATATGGGGTCGATTGTACTCATACTACACTCTGCACTTCTTGTGCAGATACCGGAGTTGATCCAAGCGCCGCACAGTAGATTTGCTCGGATTCAGCTACCCATAGGAGACTTGAGGTATAGCTGCACGACGTTCGCAGCTCTGAGTCCCCTTCTATTTATCTCGACTCTGTATTTTCTTTCAAACAACTTTATTTTCGTCCAGACCTTTATGTGTATTATTCTAGTAGCTCGTGCACTTGTGACACCAGTTCTGGGATGGTATTTAAACATCGCTATTATTAAGGATTAATTTATTTATTTCAGAATTTATTTCCACATTTGTTTCCTTGTTAATAATTAAATTAAAATGGTTTAAAATGGCTAATATTATTCTATCGTTGGCTTGCCTAGTAAGTGAAATGTTAGGCGCCATCACCGTCCGAAAGGTGAGAATTTCGGGTCGTGACAAGTTGGTATCAGAGCACTAGGTTACTTAGGTCTCACGAGTCACGAGCAAGCTTAGTAGAGTCTGAAGGATCGGTACGGAGACGTCTGTACTTATTTTCCGGAGGCTATGGAGTTTAGGAACAATTTCACTTCTATTATACTCTGTCGTGCGATTTATTCTATTATTGACGATTGAACTCTTCTATTCTTGTTCTCTCGCGGATGGTGAGAATACGTTCTACATCAACCACCGACAGGAGCTAGAGTCCC